GTATTTATGCAATTAATGACGTTCTAAGGGACCACCTATTTAAGGGGCTCCTGGTTTACTTAGACAACATTCTTATCTTCACCGAATCAAAAGAGGAACATGTCAACCTAGTCAGAGCGGTTTTAAAGAAATTGTGAGCCGCCCACCTATATGCCAAACTCTCAAAATGCGAATTCCACCAGGAAAGGATAGACTACCTAGGTTATCGCATATCCCCACAAGGCACTGAAATGGACCCAGAGAAGGTCAGAGCAGTATTAGAATGGGCACCACCCCGCACAAGAAAGCAACTGTAAAGTTTCTTGGGCTTCGCAAACTTTTACTGCCAATTCATCCCCTCATTTGCCCAGATAGCCCTGCCCCTCACGAACTTACTAAAAATGAAGGGAGCATCATCAGTAAAACCTAGCCAGCCACTAACATGGACAATGGAGTGCCAAGCAGCGTTTAAGAGATTAAAGAGACTTTTTTCTGCCGAACCAGTACTAAGGCACCCAGACATGGACAAGCCCTTCATAATACAGGTGGATGCAAGTGATGTGGCAGTGGGGGCTGTACTATTACAAGAAAATGATGAAGGGGTATTGCAACCCTGTGCGTATACATCCAAGAAACTCACGGAAACGGAACAGCGCTGGCCCGTGTGGGAGAAAGAGGCATACGGGATACGTTGGTCATTACTCACGTGGCACCAGTTCCTTGAAGGCAACAAAACCCCTTTCCAGGTGTGGACAGACCACAAAAATTTGGAAGCCCTGAAAACACCCAGGAAGCTCAACCCCAAGCAAGCCCGTTGGTCCCAGCATTTTCACCAGTTCCAATTTACGCTCACTCTTTGACAAAGTGACTAAATTAGTGGATCAGCGAAACACTGTGGACATACCATACTTTGATTTCAGTAAGGCATTCAACAAAGTAGATAACCTACCTACTTCTTGGTAAGCTAGAAAAATATGGGATAGACAGCATCACCACTAGATAAGTTTGTAATGGCTGATACTGCACTCAATGACTAGTCCTTAATGGTACTACATCTATATGGAGAGATGTAAGCAATAGAGTACCACAAGGTTCCGTCTTAGGCCTAGTACTCTTCAATATTTTCATAAATGACTTAGATGAGGGAATAGAAGGGGAAATTCCTCAAATTTGTAGATGACATTAATCTGACTAGAATAGCCAACATCCCAGGATCCAAATGGCTCTTTTTTTTCCAAAACAATTTTTATTAGTTTTCCATTTTACACCAACACAGCTTAAGAACTCACGTGGAAACCCGGTGATCCATTTTTTAAAAAACAAACAATAACATAATAAATATATACCCATTATTTCTTTAAAATTTCCCTCTCTATGTATATAGAATATTATAATCAAATTAATGCATTTTCAAATAAATTCATTCATTACTATGTCTAAACATCAATTGCATTAATCAATAAAAAATTTTTAATCTACAGAGACCTATATTTCTTCACCCGTTTAAACTTAAGCTTCATAAATTCGATTTATTTAAAAACATTATAATCAAGTCGATATCTTTCTAAAACCAATTCATTTAGTAATATAACATTTCATCCAAACTATATAATTAAAAATCAACTAAAATTCTCTATTTATATTATTATAGGCTCATTAAAACATTTCTAAAACAAATTTCCATTAAATGTATCACTCTATATAAATTTCATTAATCAATAAAAGTTTATAAACTCATTATCCATCCCAAAGATCCTGTATCATGCTTTCTTAATTTTGCAAATATTTAATCTTAAACTAACATATTCATTTACTATTCAGGTGCCCCAAGTGTTTTTTTATTTAAGCATTATTAATTCCAAAAGTAAATTCTTCTCTTTCTCACCAATCTTCTATTATTTTTCACTGTTTCTCCAAATCTCCCATAATTAATTCTATCATTTCCTATATTTCAGTTCTTTTCTCATTATACCATCTTTAATGTTAAAAACATGTAAAGCCCTTTTAACAAAGTCCAAGACCAAATCACTGTAAGGCCTTTACCACATTACTATAATCAAATTTAATATTTGTATCTTATTCTGGGTTTCTTTCTAATCCAAACAGGTTTCCATAATCGGGCCTCTGCCTGCCACACTATACACTCCAAAAAGAAAGCTCTCCTTGTACATTTTGTAAAATTAGTATAAAAGTTATAATTAATCTGAATGGCTCATAGCAGAACATCATTTCCCCTTTCTTTTAACATTGAATAAATTTCACTTAAAATCCTTTTATATCATCCTCTTTGATCACATGTTTCTCTTTTCCCATGTTTTTTTCTCTGTCTCAAATTCAAATGGGATCTGCAGTCCAACTTGTCCTTCTGAAGCGAGATTGTCCAGTTCCTTATCATAAATCATTTGTCCGTTGATATTAAGTCTTTTTTCCAAAATTAATTGATTGTCCAACTGTGGGTTTACTTCTTCCACCTCAGCAAACAGGGTACAAGCCTCTTGTGTATAAACTGATGTTTCACTTAGTCCTTGCCTTTTGCCTTGTCGAAACAAAGAGATATCCTTTGAACAAGCAATTATCTTCTCCGTGTTTTCCAAACTTTTTTCCAAAATATACTTATAAGTAAGATCTACACCGGTTTCCTCCATCTTTATTATCTTTCAAATCCTTATCCTTTTAAAGGAGACTATATTTAAAAAACAATCACAATATCCGTCTCCTCCCAGTTTCCTTGCCTTTTTCCTTTGTATAAAATGAAAGTCTTTCCAGCGAAGAAAAGATAGCAAGTACAATGAATAAATTTGTCAGAGAGTGTCCCTCAGAAAGTAATCAAATGTTCAATCCTTCAGACACCATAAAGATAAAAACAAACAATATTCTCCAAGTATTATAAAAAAATTTCTTGAGACTCCCAATATCCAAAAATAAAATCAATCATTAAAACAAAAATAAAATTAATCCTTTGTGCTTCTCTTCCCCCATTTAAAAAGCCGCTTCACCGGAAAAGGGAATAATTCCAAGAAAAAAAAACTTTTCACAGGCATAAAGAAAATAGAGGTAAAAAGAAAAGTCTCACCGAGTACTCCACAGTGAGTCCGTTTGCTTAGCTGATCTTGTGGCTTGCGGTTGGCACAGCTAAATGATCAGCCATTTTACTGGCCAATCTTTACCCTGTCGGCCCAAAGGAGATACTCAGTACACAGAGGCCGCCGCTGCTCCTCTGCAACATCCGAGAAGCCTCCTCAATGGTAGACGCTCCTCCAGAGTGTCTTTTCGACCCTCTAAGGGGTCTACTGGCAGGGGAAACTCGATCAGCAAAGGGACGACTCCCTTCGATCGACCGCACCGCCGCGAACCGGAACCGGAAGCCCAGATCCAAATGGCTCTTGACAGACTTGAACACTGGACCCTCTCCAACAAAATGAAATTTAACATAGAGAAAAGTAAAGTTTTACATTTAGGCAGTAAAAACCAAATGTACAAGTACAGATGAGGTGAAACCTGGCTTAAAAGCAATAACTGTGAGAGCGATCTTGGAGTTCTAATGTATAATCCCTTAAATATGATCCAGCAGAGTGCTGCAGTTGCCAAAAAAGCCAATGCAATCTTAGGCTGCATTAACAGAGGGATAGAGTTAAGATCACATGAAGTGTTAGTATCACTTTATAAGGCCTTGGTAATACCACACTTGAAACACAGCATCTTGTTTTGGTCACCACAATATAAAAAAGATGTTGAGACTCTGGAAAGAGTTCAGAGAACAGCAACAAAATGATTAGAGGACTGGAGGCTAAAACATGAACAGTTGCAGGAATTGGGAATGTTTAGTCTAGTGAAAAGAAGGACTAGGGGCAACATGATAGCAGTGTTCCAATCTTTGAGGGCCTGCCACAAAGAAGAGGGAGTCAACAAAGGTCCAATCTATTCTTAAAAGCTTCCAGTGATGGAGCACCCACAACTTGTGAAAGCAAGCCATTCCATTGGTTTATTGTTCCCAAAGCACCAGAAGGCAAGACAAGAAGTAAAGGATTGGAATTAATCAAACAATGGATGGAAACTGATCAAGGAGAGAAGCAACCTAGAACTAAGGAGAAATTTCCGGACAGTAGAACCTGAACAATAAATCAGTGAAATAGTTACCTTCATAAGTTGTCAGTGCACTCCATCACTGGAGGCTTTTAAGAACAGGCTTGTTAACCTTTGTCTGAAATGATATAGAGCAGGGGTGTCAAACTCGCAACGTCATGTAACGTGTCGCAATGTATCGCAACTTTTTTTCCATTGCCAGCAATGGGATGTGCGCAGTTTCGCCATGGCGCATCCAGCCCATGGGCCAGCAGTATGACACCCCTGGTATAAAGTCTTCTGCTTGTGCAGGAGGTTGGACTAAAAGATCTCCAAGATCCCTTCAACTCTGTTATTCTATTATTTTGTACTAGCTGTAGCTTCCAGATTTTCTTCAAAGGGAGCTCCGTGTAAAGCACATTGTAATAGTTGAATTGTGAGGCAACCAGGGAATGAATGATGATCTGAAGAGCCTACTGATGAAAGGGCACAGCTTGTGCACACGATAAACCTGTGAATTCTTAAATAAATGATTGGCTGGTTTGATATAATGAAGAATTTTGACAAATAGGTAGCCCTGTTATTCATCAAACCTCTCTGGACCAATTCTAACCTTATAGTTAATCATTTCATCTCATGATTGTAAAAAATTATGTAAATGTTGCAAGGTTATTTTTTCCCTGGGCATCACAAAAGGCTGATTCTGTCTTTTTTATTTCAAAATGTATTGCTGCATTTGCAGCAAGTCAGTTATTCTGTGAATTTCTTAAGGTTTGTTTACTGAATCAACCAACCTTTGACCAAGTTTTAAAGTTCCATTACACTTTTCATTGCAGAAGAAATTAAATATTTACAGAAAAGAAAAAGCTTGAAGGCTCAAGTAAGTTCTGTTTGATATGTTCCTGTAAAGAACAATGGGTTGTTTACATTCATTCACCTTTGGATTAAAATTCAGCATAATGAAAAAGAAGAATTCTATGTTTCAGTATATTTGCCAACCAGCTACATGGTTTTTACTTATTTTTTTTTTCTGGAGACTTTCAGATGGAGGGAAGGTGTTGGTAATACCTATGGATGGCAGTCACTGGCTCAGTATTCAACCAGTTATGGAACGCCTTCAGCACAGAGGACACCAAGTAGTAGCTGTGGTTCCTGATGTTAATTTGCTGATGAAACCATCTGATCATTACATAGTGAAAACATTTGCTGTACCCTATTCAATGGAATACTTGAAAATGGAATTTCAGAAATTGGGTCATAAGATTTTTATACATCAGCCTTTTCTGGCAAGAATTACTGAGACATTTGCAAGAATAAGGAATATTACAATGTTTTACTTAAATAACTGCAAGCAGCTTTTGTACAACAAAGATTTGATTACTTACCTTCAAGATAGCAAATTCAATGTTGTAGTTATGGATCCAGTGTCTCCATGTGGTCAAATTGTGGCTGAGTATTTATCCATCCCTTCTCTTTTCTACTTACGTGGACTTCCATGTGGTTTAGATTCAGAGGCAACTAAGTGTCCAAACCCACATTCCTATATCCCCAAATTCTATACAGGCAGTACTGATCATATGACATTTAATCAACGAGTAAATAATTTTTTATTTGGTTCATTTCAATTCATGGTGTGTTACTTAGTTTATTCACCATTTGAAGTTTTGATCAAGGAATTCCTGCATCGAGATATGACGGTACTAGAGCTATATAGCCAAGCTTCAATTTGGCTTCTTCGCTATGACTTCATATTTGAATATCCAAGGCCTATCATGCCAAATATGGTTTTCATTGGAGGTATAAACTGTGCAAAGGAGAATCCATTAACACAGGTTGGGTTTTTTTTTAGTCATATATTTTTCAAAGTGTCAAATTAGGATTGAAATATTTTGACAAAATTGGGACAGTCAATACCAAACTATCAAGTGCTATTTGCCAGAGTATGAAAGAGTGTGATAATTATATAAAGTGGCCGGGTTAAACATGTTTTATGAACAAAAGCAATATTATTCTAATAAATACTTTAAAAATCATATTTAATTTATGCAGCTTTGTTCAGAAGCAAAAAAAAAAAGAAATAAATGAATGGAAGACAAAAATAGATAAGACTTGTATAATGTTTGGGGAATTAAGGACTAGATAACTAATGATTAGCTGCCTAAGAATTCTGAAAAAGGCTCTTTCTAGTAATTGTGAAGTTCAGATAAAAATATACAGAAATATACAGTATGTTTCTGAACTGTAACATGTAGTTAAGCCATCTGATGCTTGCAACATGGATTATTAAAAATGTCAACCATAAATTTTAAATATTAGACTTTTATCATATTAAATTCTGCGGTTGGTATATAAAATGAATAATATATTTTAATGAATTAAAGATGACATTTTGGCACTTGAACATTGACTAGACTGAAACATAATTTGGCTCCTATGAATTATAGCTTTGTGTGTTGTGATTTATATTCCAAATAAGTTATTTTAATTTTTTAAATTCTTATCTATGAATTGAATTATAGTGATTAACTCTTCGCTAAATTATTTGCATGTCAATTATTTTCTTTTTTAGTCACCTATTAAGGTGGGAGATTCTGTTCAAACTATTT